ACGTACCCTTTGCACTTACTGTTCAACCCCCCCCCCTCCCCCCATACAAAAATGACCTTGCTACATCTCTGGTTACAGATATGATAAATATATCTTTCCTGAACACTGGCAAGTAGTGAGAAATATAAACAGGCACGTTTTACGCTTCGCTGCCTTCGCATTAGCATCCAATCGGAGTTCAAACAGATTTCGTTCAAGCGTCCCAAAAATGTTTACACAACATATTTTCGTTTTTACGTAAACTGTCTTGTAATTCAGCCTGTGCAGTGGCGCACCTAGGATTTTTTTTTGGGGGGGGGGGGGGCTCACATTTTGTTTCAAAAACTGTTTCCCAAAATTTTTGGCCGCAGAAAAAAATCTAATTTTTTTTTCAGAGGGCGGACTATTTTGACGTTGGTGGCGCCACTTACACCCCTATTATACTACTCGAAAATAAGCCACATACATGTACATATCATAAACGTAAAATCGTAGGACTAAAAAAAACAAACAAACAAACAAACAACCTGGGGGGGGGGGGGGGCGGTGCGGCACTGAGCCTGTGAGCTGCTGTAAGCAGTGTTTCAGTAAACCACAATAATAATTATGATAAAAACTAGATTTATGTGTGTGGACAAACACAGGGCTGTTTCGGTAATTTTTTGTGACGTGTGACATTAAAAGTTTCAAGTATAAGTTCCATCAAGGAAGGATGTGTAGCTCTGTTTATAAAAAATGGTGGCATATGTGATTACATTCTCATAGGGCTTTGAATTATGATGTCACATATCACGTGATGACTTCATGATGACGTCACATCAATTTTAATGTATAACTATAATTTTATAGCAAAGAACAACTTAGCCAGAGCATACATCGTTGAAAGCAAGTTCACATCTTTCACCAATTTTAAATTACAAGGCACTTCCGGTTTCAACCGGAAGGAAGGGTCACGTGATTTTGCACATAATATACAAAAGAAGACCCAGGATTATTCTATCCATTCCCGCAAACGTCAAGTTCAGGTCGCACACGTTTGATTTTATAGAGATTTTCAAAGATTAAATCTAATCATCTTTAACGTGACGTCACGTGACCAATGATGACGTCATCGTGACGTCACTTCAATTTTCATCTATAACACATCCCTGTCTAGGTACAGACCAACTTTCAACCAAATCTGACCTGAAGTTCTGTAGATACAGGTCTTAAAAATCTGCACTTTTATTGTGACGGAAACAAAGGCTGTTTCGGCCGGTTGCCCAAACAGCCAAAAATTCTAAAGCAGTGCTCATTTCATTGACAGGTTCAGTGCCACTTTTGACCAGCCATGCAGGACGATCAAAATAACTCAACGTCACGAACAGGTTACAGAATAACAGGGTATACCATTGATACTCAAATGGCAACGAACTATTGGTATCGGGAAGGCTTTGTGACCAGTCTCAATATCATTCGTACTCCATACAGGTTTCTTTCGACCTTGTCAGCAAATCCAGGCACATTTTGCACATGTGGTCATGGCCAACGCTAGGGATGAAACGACCCAACACGACCAAGGTGGAAGATGGTCCGTAGCGATTGTGGTGTTGACCATGTGGTCTTACAGTTTTATCTCCGTCGGAGTTGTCAAAAGCCTAGGGTTGATGCTGCCCACGTTACAAGTCCAGTTTGAATCGGAGACGTGGATTATCGGATGGATAACTAGCATGATAGCTGCAATGTCTGGATTAATAGGTGAATATTGAGTGCAAATCATGGGTTCAGGAAAAAGTGGCTCATTTTAAATTTCACTTACAGAAGAGAATTATACATTTACATGTACACTCTAAAAACTAAAGTGTTAAATTCAACTTTATAAATGATAAGTTTAACACTTGCTATGTGTGCGGTCAGTGACCACACTTAAAAGTTGATTCAACACTTTCCAAAGTGTTACGAATTCCAACACTTTTAGAAAGTTACAAAAGTGTCGATCCATTTTGCAACACTTTTCCAAGTGTTAAAAAAAGGGTTGGGATCCAGCACTTTAAAAATGTTAGAAAAGTGTAGGAAAGTGTTGGATCTGACCCTTTTAAAATGTTAAAACTACTATTCAGTCACCCCTTTACCCATTGCCAAGTGTTAAGAAAGTGTTGATATCCAACCCTTTGAAACTGTTGAGACAGCTATTTGGTACCCTTTGTGTTACTTTGAGCTAATGTAAGGTCAAAAAAATCTTCCTTCAAATGCACGCAAAACAGGCCAAAAAATACAGAGTATGTCATTGACAGTAAGGGCTCCAATATTGCGTTGCGTTCTTCATAACTTTCCGTCCTCCCTCCACCAACATCGCGATCCATCCCGATATAACCAGTTGAGTAACGGTGAGATTTTTTTTTACTGAGATATTATCGAAGGAACACTGCACATTCTTATGTTAATACTGCCTTTATATCGTATGAAACTGACAGATAATTTTAGACCCCTACTATAACAGATGAGTGTCGCTATACATGTTCGTACGTTCATACGTGCATTTGATTTGCGTGATGTATCGATACATGGTCCTCATATGGAAATACATGCACACATAACTGCGATTGTAAAGATTAAAGATTTGTCATACTTCTGTCGATTGTATTTTATACGTACTGTAACATCATCGATACATCACGAAAATCAAATGGACGTATGCGCGTACGTACAACCATCTGTTAGAACTAAGATCTAAAATTATCCGTCAATTTCGTACGATATAAAAGTAGCATTAACATCAAAATGTGCAGTGTTCCTACGATAATATCTCAGTATAAAAAATCTCACCTTTTCTCATCTGGTTATATCATGATGGTCAGCGATGTTGGTCGATGTAGGACAAAAGTTTATGAAGAACCCAACACCATATTGGAGCTCGGACGGAAAATGATCTAGTGCGCGCGCGCGGCGCGCTGAACTCACTATCCAATCAAATTGCCCAGTCGCCTAATACATTACTGCGCATGCGTCTATGCAGGAAAGCTCACAACACTTTTAAATTGTGAAAAGTCAGTCTTGAAGTTGGTTAACTTTAGCATTACTAAGAGTTGGAATAACCTTTTGTAACATTTGAAATGTTGTTTTGGTAGTAACACTTCGAAAATGTTAAAATTCAACACTTCAGTTTTTAGAGTGTACAGGGTGTTTCAATAAAAAGGAAACCCAACTTTGAAGAACCAGTGTGGAAAGACTAAATGTTTACTGGCTATAAAACTGTTATCATCTGAAAGCGTAATCTCTATGCTTTTCAATGATACCTTGTTTACATTTCCATCACTGAGCGCCACTGCCATGAGATTTTGATGCAAAATTGCAGTTGGTTCACTTTCATGTCAAACACAATAGGCATGGTGTGCATGAGAATAAGTATTCAAGAAGACGACACGAGTGCATAAAAAGAAACCAAAAAAAACAAGTCGGGTTGGTTTCAAAACTGGATTTTATTGTTTGTAATGAATTTCTCGTTTTGACCAAGCCACGTTCAAAACAATGTGCCATTTCCCCGAGGATTAACATTCAAGCCATTTTACAGACATCTTTCGTAACAATAGGCACACCGTGC